GCTATTGATCTGATTAAAGAACGAAGAGAGCAAAAAGCCAATGCTGGAAAGACTTTGGCTAAAAACAATCCAAAGAAATCTGACATGCCAAATATGCTAGAGATCCTTAAAGATATGAATAGTGTAAAACTTCGGTCAGTTAAGAGGTGAGAATACATGTACTTTTTTATTGATTTCCCATTTGTTAATATCATGTAAAACCAACACCACACTTCTTGAGGAATTTTGTTTGACTACCATGAATAGTTTTTAGTTAAAAAAAAAAAAAAAAAATGGGTCCCAGTGACTCCTCCTATACCAGTAGCAGAATCAACTAATATTTCCAGGTGATTTTTTTAGTTTTCCCATTTAATATCACCCTTTTGTGTAATGTCTGTATTGTGACTATGTAGTCATTCATTCAGAAAAGGGTGTGTTGGGCTGGGAGTATAGTTCAGTTGGTAGAGTTCTTGCCTTGCATGCACACGGCCCCTGGGTTCAATCCCCAGTACCAAAAAAAAAAAAAAAAAAAAGATGTGTTATGTTCTTATACAGGTGGTTACTGTATACACATGGAAGATGGAACCCTAGTTTCTGAAGGAGAACACAGTATTCTGAAGATACCGAGTGACTCTTTATGGGACTCTCATGTACTTTTGTTCAGCCTTAATCTAGGTTTCCATATCACTGCTAGCAAAGTTTGTCAGTGCCATTATGGAGTAACTATGATGCTAGAGAAGAACTATTGGTCAGGCAAGGGCTGACACAGTACTTCCCGGAGGAATGACAGTGTATGAGCCTGTCCCCTTGGTTTCTGTTCACTTCTCTAAGGTCAGAGCAAGATGTAAAGCCCAAGCCAGTAGATGCTGCTGATCCTGCTGCCCTCATAGCAGAAGCTCTGAAAAAGAAATTTGCTTATCGATATCGAAGCAATAGCCAAGGAGAAATTGAAAAAGGAGTTCCAAAGTCTGAATCAGAGGCCACCTCAGAGAAAGCGTTGGTGAGTATTAGCCCATATTCTTTCTTATTACATGGCAGTTCACACCATGACTGAGTCCCTGCCATTGCCAATCATTCATCTGAGTCCTCTGCAAGATTCAATAGAATGTGACACAGGATTCTGTCCTTATCTACAAATAGATTGAAAGTAATTGGAAAAATGGTAATATATTTGTTTAGTATTTATATTTTTAATTTTTTTTACTATAAAAATGATAGTTGTTTATTTCGAAATATAAAACTTGTATAAGGGCATAAAGAAGAAAGCAAAAGTTAATCCTGTATCTCATGCTTAGCTATCTCTAATGTTAAATTTACCATACAGGGTTATATTTTTAAGCATAATGAAGTGAAATTCACTGTAATAAAATTGTTATGTTAGGGCAGTGCACATGTTGTGATACAGAAACTCAAAGCCAGATCATTTTTCTTAGTGAACCCTGTCACGTCTCTTTTGAATAGGGTGATACCTGAGGTGTGGACCCAGTTGTATATGGGTGCTGTATAATAGGTGGAGATGGAGCAGGTTTCATAGAAGCTCTTCGGTATTAATTTCTACATTCCCTTTATTTGTAATTGTCATGGGAATATGTACTCATTATTCCAGAGAGGCAGATATCAAATTATGGTATCCTTAAAACTCTGTCATTTAGACATTGCAAGGGAAAATTTGTGCTTCTTATTTTACTCAGAAGTAAACTTGCACTGAAGTAGGGTGTTGCTAATTATAGTTTTCCATTCTAGAAAGAAATTTGGCTAATTCTTTGTCTTTCATCCTGTTGCTGTGTCCTGTGTTTATAACAATGTTTAATTCATAAACGTTTTAACATTACTAGTATCTGCCTGGTTTTTCATGCAGAACATAACCCAGCCCTGTGATCCATGATGGGGGTGGGATATATTATTACTGTTATAAGAACTGATGTCTATCTTTATTCTTTTTCTTTCTTTTCCAGTTTGGGCCACATATGTTGAAGTCTACAGGAAAAATGAAGGCTTTAATTGAAAATGTTTCAAACTCCTAATGGACAATGAGCTGAAAAAAACTCCTGGTTCAGCTGGTTTGGGAGGGCTGAATTTGGCTAGTAGAAATCCAACACTATTTAGTAAATACCTGGCTTTAGTATTCAGTGGTGTACTTTTTAACCTAGAGGATTAAGCAATAATGGAAGCACCATAACTTTGTTTTGCTTTTATGAGATGGTCAGTTCTGGAGCCTCCTATAACATACTGAATTCTGACATGGTTTTCACATTTAGCCAGGATGTTGAAGCCTCCGATCTTGAAAACATTTGAAAGATTTCAGAACATAGAAAGGACATTTGTGGATTTTACTGTGCATTTTAAAATTCTTAACACTAATTTATCTGTACAAATGTTTTATATACATATATTTGGATATAAAACAGTTTAAAAAATTATCAGTGAATGACAATGAGGGTATTATTATCTTCATTTGTTTTCAGTGAGCATTTACTATTCAGTATGGGTCAGCTGGTATAATGTAAGTTGTTGGAATAAAATATTTGAGATTAGAATCTTCTTGCCTCTAATAGAACTTTTATCTTAGATTCTCTCTCACATTTTTGGAGTGGAGCTTTGAATAGGAACCAGTTGATGTTCACTGCTGCAATTCCATATGCTTTCCATTAGAGGGAAGTTGAGAACCAGGACGGCTGCTTGTACCTCATTGCATCCAATGCTGAGGAAACAAATGTACTTTTCAAGTGGTGACAGATTGAATTATTGAATTAAATCATTTAAATATAAACCAGATATGCCATCTTTCTTTATTTTCAGTTTAATAAATGGCATCATAAAAATGACTCATTGCTAAGTTGATAATACTTCTGGAAATGTCAGCATAATGGAGTTTAAAATTTTTTAATATTGGTCAAAATATTTATAATGAAACATTATTAAGTAGGACTATGACTTTCCTATATATTATTTATCATTGGTCAGAATGCTGTTCTGATGAATTAATATTATGCAATGTAATCCTTAGGTGTTATTAGAAAGTGGAAAACTGCCTTTCTCATCCAGGACTTATAAGGACTTGCTATAAGTGGTCATTTGTAAGTGCTCAATAAACTTTCATGATTTTCTATTTGTGATAAATTCAGCTAATAGTTAATGCCAGAATTTCTTACCATGAGTAAATATTTGAATTTTTTAAAATTTAAATCTAGTGAAGAAAAGTTATACTTCCTGGGAGGATTAGGAGATAAGTAGAAATATACTTTAAGTTATTAAAAATGTTTGTTGTTCTCCTAAATATTAACAAAAATTATTTGAGATAATTTACATAGTTTGGTTATTTGGCTTAGGTTTAAACTGTGGCATGCTGTTGATAGATATTGTTTCTAATTGTTTGATATGATTTAAAAATTCTGCCTTTTAAGAAATTCAGAAAATCCACTTGACACATATTTTGGGCTCCTAAGAAATTTATATTTGCATCAGTATTGAATTTTGGCTAGTGCTCCAATGTAAGGAAGTTACTATTTTAAAATAAAGCAAACTATTATTTCCCTTGTACAACAGTGCTTATATGTTTTTCTTTCATCTTTTTCAATAAATAAGGTTATTTTATAATGCACATGGTGCTTCTCTGTAGTAACTGCCTTTCTACATTTTTCAAGTGGAAATATACTCCTCAAAATGAACTGTATCACTTCTCATTCACTTTTTTTTTAAAAAAGGGATGTCATGGTTTAGATACAAGGTTAACCCCTAAAAGCTCATGTGTGAGAAAATGCAACAAAGTTTAGAGGTGAAATGATTGGGTTATGAGAGTCTTAACAATCAGTGGACTAATCCATTGATATGGATCAACTGAGTGGTAAATGTAGTCTGGAGGAGAGAGTCACTGAGGGCATGCTGTTAGAATTTATATTTTGTGCCTGATAAGCAGAGTTTTGTTTTGTTCTCTCTCTGTCTCCGCTTTTTGTTTGCCATGTCCTTAGCTTCTTTTCTTCTCCACACCTTTCCACCATGATGTTCTGCATCACCTCACGCCCAGAGCAATGGAGTCGGCCATCTGTGCAATGAGACATCTGAAACTGTGAACCCCAAATAAAGTTTTCCTCCTAAAATTGTTCTTGTCAGATCTTTGGTTGCAGCAGCAAAAAAAGCTGACTAAAATAGAAAGCTTAGTATTGACACTGGAAGGCACTCCCTGGAGGCACCCATGTTTCAAGGCTCTCAAACCCATACCTAGTATAGGATTAGTGAGATCTGTTTTCCTATCTTTTTGCCACACCCACTTTATTCAAGTTGCAATGCTCCCACCCAACATAATACCTTGAAGTCAGAACTTAATAATAGTTAAACTCTCTACATTTTATAGCTGAAGCTTACAAAGGTAAGTAACCTGGTATAATGTTTTAACTAGTCCAGTGAACCTCATAGACAAAAATTATGAGTCATCACTGGACTTGGAGCCTCATGTGATCCTGGCCATGTCACACTCTTTTTAAAAAAATGGGAATTGTACTCAGTAGCTCAAAAAAAAAAATTGAGGATTATGGGCTGAGGCTGGGGCTCAGTGGTAAAAGCACTTGTCTAGCATGTGTGAGGCACTTGGTTCGATCCTCAGCACCACATAAATAAAATAAAGTTATTGTGTCCATCTACAACTAAAACTGTGTGTACAAATTATATATATATATATATATATATATATATATATATATATTTTTTTTTTTTTTTTTTTTCATTGAGGATTAAATGGAATAATGATTTGGGGCACATTCTATGAATAGTAAAGGGCTAAATGAGTTATTACCACCATAGATTATTTTACATGAAATCTGTAGTTTCCAGTAGGATGACTTCTCTAGGACTAGGGGCCATCACCTGTAATAGGTGTTATTGTATGCATCTACTTGCACAGATTGGGATGGAAGGGATAGGACTATAATATTCCATCTTCTTGCCATGTCAAGAATTCCTATGAGTCTTTTTGTCTCAAGAGTGAAGAGGAAGACATGAAGTAATAAGTTACCAGAGACAAACACTTTGGAAAAAATATTGTTCTGATAACTTCTCCAAAAATAGTTCTCTGGGAATAGAACATGGCACAAGAAATTCTTTCAGGGTTCATCCAACAGAAGCAGCTCTGAGACTGCCAGGCTGAATGACAGTCAGTTTCATAGTAAGACTGTTGCAATACTGCTCACAAACTCTCATTACAAGGACCTCTTGTTTTATAGGTTCATCCTTCTTCTGAGCGAATGTCTTGAATCTCTTAAGATTCTTCTTAGACTTCTCTTGGAAACCTTGTAACCTAGCTCTTCCTTGACCTTAATACTCTTTCTTGAAGACAGGATAATAAAAATAGCGTAACCAAGCAAGCACCCAGAAATCTTGCAGAGGTCCCTCTGGGGACTGTTGTCCTTAGTTCACTTCGTAAAGACTTAATGTTCCTACAGCTGGAACTTCTCACGTTTTTCTCTTTGGCAGCTTCTCCAGCCTCTTGAAAAGGTGAGATGACTCCTGTAAGATTAGCGTAGAACATGAGTGTCATTTAGATATTCTCAAGAGAGCAGTTGTTAAGATAACCCAAATAATGCTTCCTATTCCATACCAAATGCATGTCACACAGACATCCTTTTTCTTCACAACTGGAAAAGCCTTAATTTGGAAAGAAATCAAGGGTTTTTTACCAAAGGCACAAGGAACCACTATCATTGTTGCCTAATATGGCCATCCCTCCTCATTGGTCAGACATGCTTTTTATCAAAAGATGAAAGAAGATGAAACCAGAAACAGTTTCTGGTATCATCTTAAAGGTGAAAAACATGAGAACTTGAGTTCTGTCAGAAAGTCATTTTCAAATACTGGTGTTAGCAAGTGGGGTACAGTAGCACATGGGAGCTAATGGGGGAGGGATTCAAATTGATGGTCCTTGTCCTTCCCCTTTTGCAGGGCAGAATACCTAATAACGCATACACTGTGCCCAGGGACACGGCCTCAGTAGGTATTCTAATTAGATTCTTCCCCAGGAAGCTGAATAAGAAACCTAAGAGAGCAAGGTAGGTAGTACCAGGAGCTTAAATAAGGATACTAATGAGGTACAGCTATACCTATGAGGAATTTTATGCAACGATTTTGAGGAAATGACTTAGGAAGCATATTCATAGTAGCATTGATTCAGCACTCTCAAAAGTGTCAATACATGATTTTACTTTTAAACAAGACATTTTACAGGGTAGGAAATCACTCAAAAGATATGGTAACTTACCAAAGGAATCAAACCCAAGTCTTATAAGCTACAGAAATAATGCTTTTTAAAAATCATGTTATACTGCTACCTTAAACAGAGACTGCAAAAGAGAGAGCTGGAAGAGAAACAGTAGCCAAGAGTACGGGAGAAAGCAGCTCTGTCTCAGAATGATCACATCTCAGGTTCTGTTTCCTAAGGCATGGCCTTAGGAGTGATCTCCATTATTTTCATCCACATAAATCCTCATGATTAGAGCTCCCAGTTTCCTCCCGTTTAATCTGAGTCCCTGTGCCCTGTAATAGAAAAACCTAACCCTCATCTTGTGATGATTCTTAGGGGAAATCCCAGTTGTTTTCTAAAATAGTTCACCTAGTAATTTTTATAGTGTGTGTGGTGCAGGAAATTGATCATAGGGCCTTGCACATGCTAAACAAGTGTCCTATCACTGAGACATACCCCCAAGCTCTACACCTAGGAACTTTAAGGTTAGTTATTAAGTGCACGTGTAACATCCTCCCTTCATCCTTGTGTTGAAACCCTAACCTTTAAATAGGATGGTATTAGGAGTGGAACCGTTGGAGGTAATTAGGTCCCAGGGCAAAGACTTCATGATGGAATTGGTGGTCTTATAGAAGAGGGAGCTAGCCCTCTCTTGGCCACCTGAGGATGTAACCAGGAAGAAGGCCTTCACCAGAACCCAACCATTCTGGCACCCTGATTTTAGACTTCCACCCTCCAAAGCCATGAAAAATGAATACCTGTTGTTTTTAAGTCACCCCGTCTATGGTTCTTTTTGATAGCAACCTGAGCAAATTAAAACAAGTGCACTTCTTTATGGCATTTCCTTCAAAATTTATGTTGTGTGTGTATAAACAAATATGTAATTTTCATAAAATTCAGCTAAGGCAAAGGGACTTGTGATATCATTTGTTTCCTGATTTTTTTTTTTAGAGAATATAGCCCAATAAATGAAGAAATACAAATTTTATGTTAAAAAAAAATCTTAGATGCAGAGCTTAAAGATAAATACAAGATGGAATTCTTTTAATAGAGACTGGGATCAATGAATAGCTACAATAGACTAAGTCACTTTGTTTCAGTCTTAAATAATAGCCAGCAAGAAATCAAATACTAAAAACAGGGTTGTTTTTCTTCCTCTGCCAACCCACCAGACTAAGATTGGTTTCAGGACAACTTAAAAGTGTCAGTATAGATTTTAAGATGTAATTGATAAAAAAGAATTTTACTAAAAGTACATTGGATATTTAAAACTGTTTTAGAACCAAATGTGGAAGCCAAATGATTCAGATATTAACAGCTATACATAGGATTTACTAGAAATGATGTCATTTTCACCATCCATTCTCAACACTTTGCTCATTTTGAATGATATAGATAAACATGATAAACACTTCATACATTATTTTGTCACCCAAACACTTGGAGAACAGAGACCATGGTTTTCAATTTTAAAACCCCTTTTATTACATTCAGTGCCATGCTCTGTACACAACAGGAACTCAGATATTGCTTACCACATGACTTCAGCACAAACAGACTAGTTTCAGTATAATTTCTCTTAGTGATAATCTGATAGGTAAAAAGGGAACATTAATTCAACATTAATTTGTTCAACAAATATTTACTGATAGTCCAATTTATACCAGCCCTATGCTAAGCAGAGGAACCAGGAAGATAGAGACCCATTATATGCCCTTTGTCAATTCGCCCCCCACCTTTAGACCATGGACCCTTCAGGGTTTTTGAAATGACAGGTCATCTTTAGGACCTTGACAGGAAGTGGCTGCACATGTCTGTTCTACTATATTTTAAATGTATGTTGATGCTGTAGGGACTAGTATGCATATTTCCTTAAAAGCAATATTAATTCATATTAGTTATTATTGGTAATTGTGTCTTTTCTCAATCAGCAGGTACTGATAGGGAATTTAAACAAAGTTTATACATTAAAATATTTATAGATGTTTGGAGACACTGGAAACTTCTGATGTGAAAATTTTAAAGTTTTAAGAAAATAGAAAGCTTAATAAAAGCCAAGAAAGCATTGTGGAAAAAAGAGACCCTTTTTGGAATCTTGAAGGAGTTACTAGCACCTCTAACCTGTACACCAGGTACAAGGATATTTCCCGTGTTTGCAAAGGACATAAAATGTAATTGTTACTATTTATACAAAGAGGATCATTACAAACCATCACATTTACAGTGAGTACAAATACTGATCAGGAACCAATTTTTGTCGTTAAGCTGGGACTTGTCAAGATTTGCTTTCCAAGGTCCTTAATCCATAAAGAATAGATTCCCTCACCAGTGAAGTATTAGGCCAAGAGCCTGAAAGGGCTGTTACATGCTTAACAATTCTTTAAAGTCTCCTATTTTATCTTAAAAATTCATGTGGACTTTACATTGTTCCATATTTGCTTATTTTTAAAAAATGTGATCTTAATATTTGTATCCTCAAAATTTTCTACAAAATTCAATGTTCAAGGAACATATGCTCCATTTAAAAAGCAGGGCTATAAAAGGTGTTTCCCACATATACATAACAAAACATGACTTTTGAATGGATTTATTACACTGATAGGAAAATGGAAGCAACACCAAGGTGTCCCCCTGAGAATGTGGAAACTGTAAGCTAATCTTTTGAGTATTAAACTATAAGACAAACAATTGATCAGAGCAGAAGAAAGCACACACAGGTAGAACGGAGCCTAGGTAAGCTCAACTGAAACAATGTTGAAGGCAATGACATCTAATGGAGTTGCCAATCAGAAGCTAATGTGGAGAAGTAACTACTGGCAGAGAATCTCTAGCATCTTCCAGGGGAAGAGGGTACCCTGGTCCACAAACATGAATATCAGCAGGACTATCTCCATAAGGAGATGGAGGCATGAGGCAACTTGCTTCCCTTGCTCAGAATCCATGCTCACCAAGTGAACCGGCTGTTCATAATTTGGCTTCTCAAGAAGATTTGCCTAAAGGGAGAGAATGATTGATAGTTACATTTCTCATTTTGAATTAAAATATTGATAGTTTTTAAAAATATCAGTTACTGTGAGCTTGGTTAATGTGATTTTGCCATGAAATAGTTCTATTCTCCATGTGCTGACAAATGTCTGTAAGCTTCTACTCCGGACCTTTCAGACCCTGGACATACCGTATTTGCTAAGGTGATGCCACTAGTAAGAGTGGCCATTTGGCCTTCCCCTGGTAAAAATTCTGCTATCCTCAAAGGTCTGTGCTCATGCTGTTCAATATGTTAGCCACTAGCCACATGTGGGGATTGGGCACTCAAAATGTGGCTAATTTGAATTTAGATGTGCTAGTAAGTATAAAATACACACTAGATTTTTTAAAAAGTGTAAAAAGATCATTGTTTTTAAAATTGACTATAGGTTGAAATAAAATATTTTGGATATAATGGAGTAAAATGTTATTAATTCCATCTACTACTTCTTTTTTTTTTTTTTTTCAAATGTGGCTGCTAGAAAATTGGAAATTACTGAAGTGGCTTCCATTATATTTCCACTGGACAAATCACTCTTTAATACAAATGCCAAATATGTTTGACTTTAAAGTTTCCACCATGTCCCTTATAACAAAGGAACATAGAACTGGGAAGATGTAGGAAAGGCCCAGTGGTATCATCCTTACATTAATATGAGTGGCTATTTCTTACTACCTTCCTTTAAAAAGGCCAAGAGGTAATGTCTTATGCAGTTCCTAACTATGGGTACAAAAGGCTGTGGAGTCAAGAGCCGGATCAAAGCTGACCTCTACCATGTTACAAGTCAAGACTCTGAGCAAACTATGTAACCAGGCCTCAGCATGCACACTAGTAATGTGTAGATAATAGTAGATAACCCCATAGGATGGTGCTGGCACATAGCTCTGACTGAATTAGCATCTGATGAATGAACCCAAGAGCTAAACAGCTAACCCTAGCTTCCTAGTAATTTAGCATTGTGATTTCCAAAGGATTGAGTTATAAGGTAAATCTCAAAGATAAAAATGTGAAAAGATAGGTTTTTATTCATCAAAAGTTAACAGCAACAGGCACGTATTAAAATGAGTATGGCAAAGCCTTTTACAAATGGCTTTACACTCAAGCTTTCTCCCAAGAAAATGGCTGTTGCAACAAACTGTAAACATAATTAATAAACAGTCTTTTACAGTAACAAGGGAAATACAAATGAACTAAAAGAAAGCACCGGTTTCTCTTAAAACTAGATTACAGTTGTGCTTACTATACATAAAACAATTTTAAAACAAATTACAAAAGTGGAATGTTTTAAGTTTAAAATTAGTCCTTAAATTTTGTCCTAGAAAACATCTGTTCACATCAAAAGGCCCATCAAAGGGTAACGTTTCATCAAAGGGAGGGACAAGAAAACAATGCACTTTTTTCAAATCAAAACGAGAAGTTTGGTCACTTAGCTTTGTGCATAGTTTAAGGCAACTGGAGCAATCTGTTACAGCTTACCTACCTCCCCCTCCCCCAAGTGTGGCTGCTCATTATGTCACATTCTAAAATAATAAATAAAAGCTTACATTTCCAATCCTTTCCCACATGGATGAATATAACACATGCACGGTCATACATGCACAAACATGCACGCAAACACACATCCACACATTCACACACAACATACCTCTCACTCACTGCAGCGAAAGGGACTTTAGTACCCTGGATCTGAAGGACACACTTCCCCATCCCACTTTATTTCAGATTGGCAAATACCCTGAGCTGATTATGGTGTTTTAAACATTCCACCTTTTTCTTGCATGTGCAGGTCAAGTGTACAGTAGTGAAAACAACATGCAATGTCTTCACTGCAGAATCATAACACAGCTAGGACATTGGCGTTCCTCCCCTCCCACCCCAAATTAAAAACTAACAGTTAAAAAAAACTGCATTGCCAAACAGCACTGGAGTAGAAGCTTGGCGGTACTCTATGATAAATGCACTGGAATAAATGCTCAGCTTCCAGTGCACGAAATAAAATACAGCAAACAGGAGGCTTTGGTGGCATCCAAAGAAGAAAAAAGGCAAACAGGGGGAAGAGCTGCAGTCTAAAGTTTGATCTTTAAATTTTTTTTTTTAAGTGGTTCCTTCACAATCATGCTCCAAAGCAATTTAGAACCAATATTTTCAGAGTTGATTTGTAAACACTGAGTCTTGCCAGAGGCAGCAGAGGCTGGGCACTTCACATTTCCTTTTTCTCAGAGAGAACTTAGTGGAAGGTATAGATACACAATGTTGCATCAGACTGGTTGAATTCCAAGAGATTGCTGCTGAAAGATTCAGTTCAAGTTTCATGTTTGAAGAGTAAATGCTTTGAAAAATGCGTGGCACACTGAGAAACTTCTTTTTTTACTCTTTTCGGGTTCTCCTGCTGGGCTTTGCATATTCAAGGTTTCACACAAAAGCCAAAAGCATATTGCTGTATGTTCAGGTCTCATAATTAAAAAGTGGGTTCAAATGATCCAACTTAGGAAATCTTGGAAATAAATAATGCTGGCATCATTCACTTGGAAACCTTGGCAGTCAAGAGTAAGTTCTCTCACCTCAAGACCCCGTTTCACATTACTAAAAACCTCCAGGAGGCAGTCTGTCCCACTGGTTCAGGGGTTATGATAACTGGTTTTCCTGAGGTAATAACTTTGAGTTCAACTCAAATGCGGCATCGGCATCCTCGCTGCTGGACTGCTCTCTCTGCAGCCCCTTCCAGCTGGCCTTATTCAGTCCCACATGTCCAAGCATTGTCTGGGATAGCCTTGTGTCTGAAAACCTGGCCCATTCTGTAAATAACGGCTCCACTAGGTAAGTCATAAAACCTTGAAAAATAAGAGAAAACGGCTATTAACGAATGCTCGCAATTTAGAGATCTAGATGACGTTAACCTTCTTAAGTCCTATTCCAATACTACCCAAATCTTTTCAAAAATTCTAAATATGTGTGTTCATGTATAATTTACACATCTTCTCTGAAGAATCTATTCCTTAAAAAACTCAATGGAACTTTACCTAAAGGTAAACTGGTAAACATTATTAAGTCTTTCCTGATTATGTCTCTCAGTTGAACAAACACATCTTAATACTTATGCAAACATGCACTGGCCACATGGACTCTGAGGATACTAAGACAACACAACTCAAAGTTTAGTTCCAGTGAGACAACTGGAGGCCAAGATGGGGTGTCTCCTCCAGGAGGTGGGTGCCGAGGCCAGAACTGGAACTGGTGAACTCACTGCTTTACCCCTCAGGGACAGAAACGTCTCTTGATAATAATTGAACAATTTGTCTAATTAACTTTAGAACTAAAACTCAGAAGAAGAATTAATCAGCTTAAAGATAACAGGGGAGATTAACTTTTAAAAATTATTGCAGTGAACACCAGAATTGTTTGTATCTGTAGGTTATACAATACTCTACTGAACATCATATCTGATTTCATACTAAGTACTATCTTACTTAGTCCAAAGAAGCCTCCTAGGAAATAGCTTATCAATCAAATCAAAACATACACATTATCTTCCTAAAATTCTGACCTGTTAATAAAGTGAGAAATAAACAGAGCAAACTAGTACACAGTATTTCTGAGTCTTCACATTTAAGAGTTTTCTTGAAGTAAAATATGTGGACCACAGATGGATCTCACTGAAATTAAAGGAATTATCCCAAACTATTTTTAATTAGGAAAATCCTATATGGTCTTATGGTTGATATTTTTTTAAGTGTACATAATTATAGTAACTGAACAGTTATGATGATCTGCAATAAACTTTCTTTTATTGATTCATTCCCTCCACATAATATTAACTGAGATTCTACTGTCGGGCAGGCACTGTTCCATCCAGGGTGGCTGGGGATACAGTAGTGAACAAAACACAACATCTATACCCTCAAGGAGCTTATGTTATGGTGAGGAGAAAGAGATAACAGAGAAGAATGTCATTAATACAGCCCAAGAACAGAGCAGCTTTTGGCAGCTATCCTCTAGCCACCATGTCCTGCTGAGTCAGGCCTTTACAGTTAAATCACCAACAGTTGAGGGCTTGTACCCAAATGTAGAACCTTATTATTGTAGGTGTTACATGATTCGTTTTATGTGATTCTTGCCATTGTTACAACAGGTTGAGATAAAAATACACAGGCCAGGGCTGTGGGCACAGGCATGCAGCTGCCTCTCAGAGGTACACTCTGTCAATTGGGACCCTTCAAGCACAGCTGCCTCTATCTGCACAAATTTCACAGGGTGCTTTGCCAAATACCTCACTCTTACCCAGGAACTATTCAGCAAAACTAACATCAAAGAAAATTATATTTGTTACGCATGACTCACACTCACTAATCCTAAGCAGGCTCCAGGTAATCACTATTAAGATTTGACATCACAAAGACCCATTTGAAGCCCTACACCTACAGCTTGTTAACTGTTGGTAGGCAAACTATCTGAAAATGGCGGACTTGCAGTATTCGACTCCTAGGGTGGCTGCGAGGAGTCAGCAGATGTCCACTCTCCTCTTCACATCATTTATCTTATCCCTGGTCCTCTGACAACCCATTCTAGAACTGCCCAACACTGACCAGACCTGCACTTCGAGATGAACAATTTGAGGAGTCTAGCTTCTGCACTCTTAGAAAAATTGTGAATTTCTTAACCTCATTTGCAAGTTCTATTAATCTATTAAGACCCAAGTTTTTAATTCTGTGAGTATTTCAATGAAATTGACCCAGGTGCATTAAGATAGGTTGGAGCTCATAATCTACAACATATATATTATATTAATAATAAAAATTACATAGTCATATAATTATGTACTATATTTAAGATTTTTATACATTTTTCTACATCTAGAACAATGGGAAAATGAGTTAAAATAGGGAGTCATTTCCTCAGGCAAAAAGACATTTATTTAAAAGAGCTAGAGTAAGTTTACTACTCATTCACTCATCTTCAATTCCCTTTTGCCCATATTTCATCCATTATTTTGCATTTGAAAATTATCCTACTTGACAATCAAGACAGAGCAGATCTATTTCTTAACTGTATTATCCATCTGGTAACTTCCGCACTCCAGGCCAGTCTGGGCTTTCCCAGAGGTTCCGCATCCCTATGCACTCCTACAGGTCTGACCACTCTCTGTCACAGCTTCTCTACCTGTCCCTCTGCAGTCAAGCCATTCACTACCCATTTTCTTCCACATGTGAATCCTTTACAGTTACAACATAATAATTACATTTTTGAATTTCTGATTCTATAGCATGATCCTCCTTTCGCAGTATTATGCCACAGAATTGTTCTACCTTCTCAATTTCTAGAAACCTTATTTTTTTTTGAAGTTCAACCTAATGCTCAAAAGGCCCTACTCAATCAATACCATCTACAAAAATTACATTCTTACCTCAATACCTTCTTGAGCTACTTGTCTCCACCATTCCCTACTTTACAACCAAACCCCAAAACACTCAATGCCAGGCTATCATTCCTCTGCTCTTCTACAAGCCACAATGCTTCAATCACAGAATATTTCACTGTGTTCTACTACAGTTAGTAGTTCATTCAACAAACAGTTCTCCACAGCCTCCTGTGTGTAGGTACAGTGCCAGGCTTTAGGAATACTCAACCAAGGGCAAGGCAAGGTGTGAGCAATAGTGTAAGCACTTGGTGCCTGGAAGAGGACCACCTAACATTGCCTGCAGAGTGAAAAGCACATGCTGGAGGAGGCATCATGTGAGCTGGGTCTTCAAGAAAAAGGAGTCATGGGATGCAGACAACAAAGAATGGAAGGGCACAGAGGGTGAAAGAGTCCTAACAAGAGAAAACAAGAATAAGATTTCTTAAATTATTTTAAAAACTAGAAATGAGCACAATTTCAATATAGATTATATATTTTGAATAATTTCTCTTCTTGACAAAATTAAAATGACATTTTTTCAAACCAGCTATATTTAAATGTATATAGTTACCAATCTGGATGTTGGCAATAGATTCAGTCTGACGATCACAAAGTGGACTCACACTCAAATGATACTTTTTTTCTATATCTCCTAAAAATTAAAAGGAATTATTAAGATGGAACACATCTATTGGCTAAATATATAATTAATGTCTGCATCATTCCTATAAGTACCTTAGAAAAATATATTTAACCTTCATGAGGACAACTTCTCAATTAGTTTCCTTTTCTTTTCTTTTAGACAGAGGTTTATTTAGGAAAGAAAAGGCACATTAAAGGGATAATGCAGGCCATCTCCAGGGAGGGAGACAGCTTGATTATTTTTTGAACTTTAAGTTATTCATACATAGAAAAGGTTGCTGGGTTGATATTTAAATGAAAGAAGTAGAAAACCTTTACTAATGTACCCTAAGACTATAATTCTATCAGCATTTTAGTTTAAAACTTAGTTTTTAAAAGGGTGCTGCATAAAATGGAGACCCCTGGGCTCTGACTTTGAATCACATTCAACAACAAAAAAAAGTCTTACATGTTTACACGGACATGCCTTCCACATACAATAAGGGATGGAGCAAATTCAGAGAAATCTTTCTGTACAATAAAATTTCCAGCCTACACTATGTATATTCATAAATGCATAAATATATGTATATATGATAATTCCAAAAGAAGACTACTAATTTTCAAAACAGATGCTCAATTTGCACTATGTGCACATTATACTGGCTGTATGCACATCTATGAATTATTGTTAAAAATATCAAGAGGCTCTTATAAATGCTGAGTTCTTATTTTATTCATGCAATGCTAAAACATGGACTGAATAATTTATTAGTCAATACTATAACTTGCCTTGGTGGAAGAATTCTTCTGTTACTTTTTCACTCCATTGTTTGCTTAATTCCCAGGTCCGACAAGGGTTACAGATATCAGCACATTTCAAAGCCATCTAGCAAACAAAATGTTAAATTTGTGGTGAGAAAAAAAAAAATAAGATCTCAATTGTACTAAGTTTAAACATACCCTAACAATGGGAAAAAGAACACTTAAAAAAGAAAAAGAGGCCGGGTTCGGTGACATGTGCTTGGAATCCCAGTGATTTGGAAGGCTGAGGCAGGAGGATTACAAATTCAAGGCCAGCCTTAGAAACTTAGCGAGACCCTCTCTCAAATAAAATATAAAAAGAGCTGGCAATGTAGCTCAGTAGTAAAATTGCCCTGGGTCCAATCCCAAGTAGCAAAAAAAAAAAAAAAAAAAAAAAGAAAAAGAAAAGAATAGAAGAGAAAAAGAAAAAAAGCTAGAGTATAGCTCAATTGTACAACACGTTAAAGTTTAATATGCATCAGATGCTGGGTTCAATCCCTAGGACAAACTAAAAAGAAAAAAGAAAAGAAAAAAATATATATATATTTTGTTGTTGTTGGTTTTGTTGTTATTTTTCAATGGCACATTATAATTATACATAATAGCAGAATTAATTATGCCATATTTGTACATGTCCACAACATAATTTGATCATGGTATTCTGATCTTGCAGACATTTTCTTCTCATCAGAATTCTTGAGTATAAAAACACCAGGCTCGGGGGCCATGATTGTGGCTCCATGGTAGAGCACTTGCCTAGCATGCATGAAGCACTAGGTTCGATCCCCAGTGCTACATAAAAATATAAACAAATAAAATAAAGGTATTGTATCCATCTACAACTTAAAAAAAAAAAACAAAAAAAACACAAGGCTCATGGTGCCTTTCCAGGCAGCAGATCTGCCAGTGCTTTCCTGGAAAGTGTATACTGACTAAGGAAACACCTTAGGTGTCTCTCCAGATTAACTACCCTGAAAAAACATTCTAGAATATTTTATTTTTATTGTAATAGTAACATAATTTACCCTAGAAATAGAACCTTTCCAACCCTCATTTTACCTGCAAAACCAAATGCCTATGTCTGGCATCTTCTAGGCACAAGTCACCTCTATCCAAATGGGACCTAAACAATGACAGGTACTCGTTCTGACGACTGATATCTGTGGCCAGTATCAAAGCACCTATCTGAGTCTCCATTTGTTGCCTGTAATTAAATAAATATAAGAAGAAAGTATAAGACTTTTAGTTAAATAATTATTCTTGATTTTTCCCCTTAAGCAAAGTTTTACAGAGCCCTACGATATTCAAACTGTCATCCAACTTAAAAATTTTATCTACAAAAAAATGTATTTTAAAAAATTCATTTAAAGACTATTAAAACAATCAAAACTAAAACCAAGGGAGTTTGTAAGAAAATGCCAACATACAAACAGTCCAAAAAAGTGCCTTTGTTTTTGCTAACCAAGGTAGAATTATTTGCTTTAAAAAAATGAATATAGCATTGGTATGGTATTTGAGAAAATCCTTTTCTAGGGTTTCTTTGCTGGAAAATTCTTGTGCTGAGGATAAACAACTTTGGTTTCTCTTTGGTGCCTGAGATTTGAAAGGCAGAAGGAAGATTCAAATGGAGAGAATACTAGACCATTCAACAAATGACCACCTCAGGCATTTTGACGAATATGCCTAAGGAAATTCTGACGATACCACTAAAAAATTAATAAAGTTTAAATTTGATTATATATTCAAAGTCAAATTCAAGAATTAATCAAATATTTGTATATGAATATTCAAATTTCTGGAAGAAAAAGGTGACATGCTAATAGAAATAGCAAATATAAAACATTAAAATCACCTCATGTCAAGTAACTAATCCCTTCCCTTTGTTCTAATACAAGTATATTTGTTTAATGGTCAGCAAACAGCTGACAAACACATTAAAACACTCACAAAATTGACTAATAAGTAAAATAAACCCTAAATGAACAAAATGTAAAAGGATACTATTAACAGTTTTCCTCATTTTCAGTTTATTTTTATTAAACCTACAGAAATCAACAAAGTTAATCATCAAATGCAAAAGAGGATAAAAAGTAAACAATGAGGCAAATATGTTAATCTGTCTTAATAAAAACATCCCCAAAGTTAGATAAATAAATACTGTACAATTTAAGCAATTTTTATATTTGTGCTACAGCAAGAAACAGTTTACTTACCAGAAGTATTGTCATACTCCAAATGGTAACCATGAATAGATTTAAAAAAATAAAAAATAAAGTCCAGCTTTTTCCTTATAGTCATTACATAAAACAGTTTTTTAAGAAAACAGTTTTAAATTATAAAAGGAAAAAGGTAAATGAGTGTAAATTTTAATACTCAAGCACACACCCTGATACCACTTTTCTTGATGGATGGTACATGGTTTTCTGAAGTGCATCTTCTCTATGTGCAGCATCAGTAAAACCTTTTTATTTTCACTACTTTCATGTCTGTTTGTGGACTATACCATGGCAGTTCACCACCACCATGTTGAACTTATTTACACTGATGCTTTTAATAGTCCTTTTAATGTCCTGCCTAACATTAAATTATTTTTCTAAAATATTATTTTCTTTTCATTATTTATTTTAATAGCTCTAAAAGTGACTTTAGAACTATGCTCTTGAGGACACAGTTTCATTCTTTCCTTCTCAGCAATTTTGAAAACTTCCTGAGACAGACTGCAATGAATCTACTTGTTATATAGAAAAATTACTTTCTACACAATTTGCCTTTACACCTAGACCTTAAGGTTTTATTCAGCTGAGCATACAGTGGAAATATGTAAGACCTATTTAAGTAGTAACCTATGACTGAGCCCTTGTGTATCTGGAGTAAATGTTCTAGTACTCAAATTCGTAGAATGGTCTTTCATAAAAATAAATAGCAACTAAAATATTACTGACTGAATATATAGTACAGGATTAAACATTTGAAATTTTGATAAATATATTTTTAAATAAGATAATTTATCCATTTAGTTTAACAAAAACTGAAAACTACAGAACACCTGGACATAATAACATTAATTTCAAAACTTAGTAGATTTATTTGCCAACTTAATTTCCATAATTAATAACAAATTAAATTTGTCTTAATCCAACCTACCTTCTTTCTAATGGCAAATGTGAGAATAAACCGGATTCTCTCAATAAGCCCACTGCAGATCTCCAGTGGTGATTTTCCAGTACTGAGGTATTCTACAAAAAGTATGTTTCTTAGTTACTTAATGGTAAGTCTCTTTCTAAACAAAGAATTATTTGTCAGTAATATTAATCTGGTCAAAATTCTAGCATTCATTGAGAATTTATTTTTGCTACTTTTATTTCTTCAAAATATGAAACATTTATTCTAAAATGCAAAAAAATCAGACTTTGATGATAAAATTGCACTAACCTTGTATAAAGTTGCCAAGTAATGGTTAGTTTTAATAAGGAAAGGTTGATTAACACCTGGATGATCCAGATCATGAGTGGCAGCTGCAATTAAGCTCAGCAAGATATCCCAAGGAGTTACAGAATTGGCAAGCTAAAGTGTGACAAAAGAATAATTAATCACATATTTGAAGTAAACTCTACACCACTAGAGTAGTTTTGAATTAGCAGCCAGTGGTAGTGTTGACAGTCTTCCCCCACTTCATATCATTTTTTTCAGGCAGACTATTCATTAATGCCACCAACACCTGCCAGGTACTACCTTATCAGGACACTGTGGCAGTGTCCTATGGAGTTTACAGAGCTTATCTTTATACTGCTTCATTTTTAACACACTTACCTAAAATGATAGCTGAAGTATAAACCATTTATTTTTTAAATGGTTTTTGAAAAATGACAAACACAGGTGTGTGTATTTTCATTATTGGAGCTATTACAAAGTAGTAGAAGACTTATAATTTCCAGAGTGTTTATCTATCAATAAATTGGTCACTGGATTTCAATAATGTAATTTAAATGCAAGGTTATTACTGTAGTCCTAATATTTAAGGAAGCTACTGAGGAATCATGCAGGAAGAAGTCTAGGTCAAGTGGGTAATAAAATTCTCTCCCAATGGATGTATACATTCAGAACAAGGTACACACAAAGTCAAGTCACACAAGAGGGAAATCTGTAAACTGGCACTTATAGTTTTATCTTCAATAATCATTACCAAACTTATTTGATACAATAAAACAATCTACAACAAAAAAGTCTAATATTAGCTGACTGAAATTCAACAATTAAATTAGTCACATTGAGTCTAGCATCTGCTCTCATGAACACCCTCTTCTTCTGGCAAAATTCTACTTATCCTTATCCTATAAGGCCCAACTCCACTGACCCGCCCTCTAGCCACTTTCTCAAGCAAAGGACTGGTTTGTGTTCCTGTAGCACTTCACAGGGCTGACCATCCTTGTGGTTTTCACGTTAGGTTCTGACATGTTCCACAACTAAAATTTCAAAGGTCAAAATTCATTTCTTATATATATTCTTTGTCATCAGCTATGTAGTCTGTACTCAGTGCAAGAATAATGTGCACATGATACATTCCACTTTGTGTTTGTGGAATTGCATGTATTTGTATGACACCAAAAAGATGATGTCTACTAGAGATAAGAGTCATAAGTATAGAAAAGAAATCAGAGTTGAGAGAGAGATTTAGGAATCATCACCTGCAGATGTAACTGAGAGCCATGTGAGCCCATGAATGACATCCACCCCACAATCTGCCTAGTAGTGCCCCTAGCATTACTTCAAAACAGTTCTCTCCCCTTATTCTGGCTAGATGTGAGGAGGAAAACAACTAAACCAGTTTGTGCCAGTTGAACTGAGAACACAGCCAGTCATCTGATCTTTCATGTCCCATTTTTTTTACTATATGTATCATGACTTTTTAAATATCATCTTTATTATGGTATAACTTCCATGCAGTAATAAAATATATACATTTTATGCATACAGTTTTGACACATGTATACTCTCAACTATCCCAATTTTTAAATTAAAAATTTTAAAAGGCCAAGCTGAAACCTTTCTTTGAGAACTTTGTGGGAGAAATTGATAAAGAACCTCTGTGCAAGTCTGGAAAATGAAATAATGGAGATAAATTCTCTGAAGCACAGAGGAGGGCTGACCTAAATAGAGAGGGCTCCTCCCACTCCCCATCTTCCACTGGCCACACCTAACTACAGCCAGGAGCTAGGAAATCTAAGAGATGCCAGGTTAAGCAGGCTGGGGAGGCTTGTGGATAAATGAAGACAAATGTGATTTTAAACACTTTTCATCATTAACAAACTCAATGAACTCTATAAAAGCCAAAGCTTTGATTAAGGACATAGAATCACTGAGCCCTCAATGCAGCAACTGCCTTCTCCCATACTACAGTTCACACTTAAAAACATACATACATCATTTCTCCCTTTAGTATTTACATTTTGTCTTCAAGACTGAACTTACATGGACTACAAAGAATTTTGTTCCAATTGAGCCTGATATCCTTGAATTATTGACAATGTTAATAATCATGGTTGTCACTGAGGAAGCTGTGATTTCTGCCTCTGTTTTCTATTTCATGTTTAGACTCACTCTTACATATGAGTTTAAATCAATTACTATATTAATTTAGCAATATCTGTGGAAGATTGGTTCTTGGCTGCCAGTGCAGCCAAGTCACGAACTTAGGAAAAAGTATCTGAAAGTAAATTCAAAGCAAATTTCTTACAATTTACACCTAAAGTCAAGGTCGACCTCTTACCTTAGGTTCCTTTAAGTAACAGTGCATGGCCTGAGTAACATCTGCAGCATGGACTGCATTATGATAAGGATTTTGACTGTGGTAATCTTCTTGAATCATAACTGCATCAAAGAAAAAAAGATCCCAATTGTACTGTAAATGGGTGACATGTAAAAGTACAAAAACTGTGATAATTGTCAGTTATCCACTTATATTTTAAAATTGTCCAGATTTGAAGAGATGATAATCAACTCACAATTCACATGTACTGTCTTTCATCTGAATATGTCTGACTAGATACATTCTGAGAAGTATGACATTAGGCAATTTCATTGTTGTGGGAACATCATCGAATGTACTTGCACAACTTTAGTGGCTACAATTCACTTGGATATATGATCTCCTGGGACCACTGTCATACATACAGTCTGTCACTGACAAAAAGCTGTCACGTGGTGCACAATGGCAAATGTGTTTTAAGTAAAAAATTTTGAGTGGTTTGTTACAGAGCAATAGATAACTGATGAATCTGATAAAAAAATTAAACAAGTTCTCATACAAATCTTATTATTGTTAAATGGGTTAGACTCACCTAAAAATCTACGAAGTTTCATCATATCTAAATGGAAGTACTCAATTAATCCATGAAGACTAAATAAATGAAAGGTTAAACTTACTAGACTATTTCCTAAAAAGAAAGAAGAGATATTACATTAGTAGAAAACATATAAAGTAACATAATTAACACTGCACTTTCCAATTTGGATTTTGAATACAAAACTCAGAAAGTAAGTATCCTCACTCCTACTTTGGTCTACCTAATTCTTTTTAATTTTACCTGTTATGAACTTCAAATGTAACAATTTTGTTCTACTCTAAGGGGGGAAAAATAACCTTTCATTGTTTCAGTTTTCTACAACCAAAAAACTGAAAAATAAACCTTTCAGATAGATTATTTTTTTTAAAGTCACCAAAATAATTAGAAAACTTTGATAACTGCCACACACTGATTAAGCCAATTCAACTTCCCAAAGCACCTAAAACATGGTTGCTTTTAACCCCTTCTTCTAATATGCCCTCTATCACCTCGATTTAACTAAAACTGGCTTTCCCTGAGCAAAGGTCTTGGCTGCAACCTTGTTGGGTGAAGGCTATTTATTCTTAGGTACTCAGGGCAAGGCAGATCAGTGACCTCTTCAAGTGCCCCAGGATCAAAACTATACACTCAATCACTTGCCTTTTCCATATTTGCAGCAGAAAATCTAAGAGTTCTTTGCAGGGGGAAATTGGAAAATTCTGTCCCTAAAGATTCATGGTCAACAATGCCCAGCAATCTTACTGTTTTTCCAGTGAACTGGGAAATGTTTATTTTCAAGACTTTTCTACTCTTCTCAAACTTTCAGCATACTCACTGCCCATCTACTACTCCTCATTCTTCACAGTCTCCTACTTCACAGAAAAACCACAAGCCCTCAAGTTTCCCTTTCAGTCAAAAGCAAATCCATCCACACCTCCTCAAGGAAGGTCCCTTTCTAGTTCCATCAGAGACACCTACTATCATGCAAATCAATCAGTGTCTTTCTCCTATATTGTTCCAATAGGCATCAGCATTCAAACCTTCTCTAAATTCCCATTTCTTTCAAACAACAAAGAATCTGGGCTTCTCTCAGCTCCTCTATCCCCCACACAGCCAAGTCTTCATCCTCAACTTCCACTCCTTTATCACTGAATGACAAGAGTCATATCAAGTACAGAAATCACATTTGGAAAACGTACTATCCTTATCATGATTAGTTTTCCCTTCCATGCTATAGCTCTCCATTTTTTATCTTATATTTATCAAAGTTTTAGAGACTTCTTCTAAAGGACACATACAGATATTAAATAGACTATATTTTAAAGGGGTATGATGTCAGAAATTACTGCCAACTGCTAACCTTCAGATAACAACATATACAGTACTCTAATATTCTTTGAAGAAGTTTATTATTCTTACTAAGATGTAAAAAAGATTAACTAGTTCCAAATTGAAATTTTATAGTATTAATATTTAAGAAGGATAATAAAGGACTAGTTAACTGAATTTGTAATCCAAAACAGACTAAATACAATTGTCAATAGAAATTATAGCTGAGAAAAAAAAGTAAATTAACTGGAGTAATATTTGCCATGAGCAACATTAGAAAGGATGTGGTGAGCCAGAGATTCCTTTTCACGAGTACCTGGCATATCACCTTCACATGGAAAGAGGAAAAAAAAATTAAACCTTTTACTTTTAGAATGGATTCAAGTCCTAATAACACCCTACTGGAACAAACACAAATCCACATGATTTGGAACCATTTGTGAAAAAGTGAGTTTTATTCCCACAGTTACTGCTGGAATAACCAAGTTTTCTTCAGTTATGTACATAGATATTTTAGAATGGTATATTCATTCTGTGTATTCAGGTTATCATACAGTTCTCCCAAGTCATTGTCCAAATCTAACAAAACAAATCACCAATTTCTATGGTCTAGAATAAGTTTTACAAAAGCTAGGACCTAAGGGAGAAATATCTTCTTTTGGAATTCAGGCAAACAATGGTAAGAGACACACACAATATCCTCCACTAAGAACTTTCCAGGAATCTGTCAAGAACTAATCAATTCAAGTATACTTCCCATATCAAACTGAAAAACTGCATGCATACTTCTTCCCCTTTTCAGTTCAAAAAACACTGAGTATTTTAATACAGTGAATGAGAATACAAGTCGATAAAACATTTCAAAACAAGACATGCTTAGTTGTATTAAACAAAAAAAAAAAAAAAAAAAACCACAGGAGAATTTTTTTTTTAAATGGAAAGGAAAATAAACACTTTCTTGAAAAAGAAAACTGTAATTATAGAAAAGCTATCTCATAAAAATATACCAAAAGATGGAACTGCCTAAGGTTTAGTGGCCCTCAATGGTTTTTAGAAAGTGATCCTCCAGAGCCAGTGCCACAACACAGGCTGGCACATAGTGTCCTTAGGAACCAGGAAACTCTCTGGGGCAGCAAGCTATATCTTGCTCCCACAGCATCACTTCACTCTCATCCCTGTAAAAGGAGCATCAAGTATATCTAGCAGACAGTAACTATTTTCCTCCTTGGAGCAGACAGCTGGGGACCATTTGTCTTGGCATGAATCACCGAGTTTTGCCTCCTACTCCTCCCTGTCCTCTTCCTAGTATCATCTGGGGAATTACCAGAGTAAGAAATACAAGAAAACACCAGATCAATAAGCAAGAAGGGGAAACTATACACTTGGATACCAAGAACACATATCCGGAATTAGTTTCAGGGTAAATAGTGTTTAAAGGAAATCCATTATGATTGCATAATGCAAGTTGATGAAATTCCTTCTGACCATTTGTTCAATAACATCTCTTTAAGTAGAGAATTTCTATAACTTTTAGGTAGCTGTAATTGACCGTGTGCATCACCTCCTATAAAACAAAGGTGGCTAACCATGGGCAGATTATACTAATCCCTCATGATCTGGAATCAGCACTAACAAGCAGCCATTCAACCACCTTCTCCACAATTGCAGATGAAGAAGTTACATAATCAAAGCGAAGGTAAAGTGCTAAGTTAACTAATATAGATTGGAGGCTATCACTTCTGACCACCCTACATAATGCCAAGCTTACTTCTACTTGCATCCCTGAGTCCCTGTTGAGGACTTCTAAAAAATAAAATTTAGAGGTGAACAATCAACCATTTCAATGAATGACAGGCATCTCAGCAGCCTAATAATAGACTATGAGCTGACAGGTTATATAAGGCTAAACCTTAAAGGTGTTTCATTTGTATTTATTTGATATAATAACTTGACATAATAACTAAAGTAATATTTGTATTGAGTTATGAAAGGAAAATATTCCAGATCTAGAAGGAGGTAGTCACCTGATATCTCACTACCTGTGTTTTCAAGAAAGCCCATGGGAAGACCAACTGTTAGCGACATTTGAGCCTTTTTAGCACTGACTGCCAAGGTGGGGGCAGGGAGAGCAATAGGACACCTAATCACCAAAGGGCAAAGGAGAGGTGGAAGAAAAACAGACAGGGAAGAAAAATAAAAAGGGAAATGGAAGGTGACTTTGCTGATAAAGGCAAACTTCACTGTCTTGACCGTTTTGCCAAGCATAAGTCCACTCTATTTCCTGCCTACAATGTGTAAACAAAGCAGAAGGTGCGCAGAGAGGTACTTTCTGTACCCATGGCATACAGCCTAGAGGAAATAATGGGGTGATGCTATAAGGCCCACATTGATGCTCGAGATAAAGCTGTGTTTATTTGTCCATTTTATATATTGGCTTCTTATGAAAGGAGCTTCACCCCAAAGTGAAATAAGCAAAAGCAGGTGATTTCAAAGGACAGCAGCAAGCCACATATTTATTTTGTCACTACAAACAGTCAAAACTGACTTCCTTTCCATGTACTTTCTACTTTGCTTCATTTTATTAAAAAGCTATTTAGAAAAAAGGGGAAAAAGCTAGAGGAACTGCATATACCACGATGAATTACACGAAAATATTTATCCTAAATAAAAGATATTCCCAAAGGGAATCCAGTTTGGGTTCCCAAAGAAAATAGTGAACCATGGCATCTCCAACCCAAACAAAACTAAACCAAACTCTGGAGTGGGTGGGACAGATCAGATCACCTATAAGCATCTTATTCAAACCACTTTTACTCCATAGAGATTCCAATACATTCTCCTAAGCTACAAACTCTTCCTATCCACTGTGAGAGGCAGTGCCAGAGGGAACCATTGCTGCTGACTGTAATATGACATGTCTGTCTCTCAAGAACACAGAGAAAGCAAGCCTGGGAACCACAGCACTTCAGGAAAGGATGCATCTCAAGTGGCAGCCAAGCCACCAATCACCTGGGATACACAGGGATACAGCACCAGAAGAGGTCACTATAAATAGCCACAATCTAAAAGAAACCAAAAAGGGAAAATTGAGCCCATAATGAGATAATAAGGCTTACTCTGGGTAATTAAAAATAGTTGCAATAACTGCCAACTGGCTGCATCATCATGATGATGAGTTTTGATTACTGCTTAGGGTAATAATAAAAGCACAGAATTGTGAGATTGTCAACATTTAGAGAAGTCACTAAAACAAACAAACAAACAAACAAAAAATCCCACAAAATGATGCTCCCTCTGCCAGCAGAGGGCTCATAACCTGAGTCAATGAAAGCAACAGCCCACCAGGGGCTGCACCATTAATGCAGTAATCTAGAGGCTACATTAACTTGAGTAAGTCAAATTCTTCACTTACCATTTGTTAGTCTATCAAATAGAAAGATATCAAAATTCCAATTTCCAACTTTTTCCAGCATACACTGAAATGAAAACCAAACATTCCTACTGTAATTTAATTTTAATAACATTCTCTGTCTTTTGTAGATAGTCCATAGAGAAGTTAATGAAAATGGAAAGTGACTGATTTACTTCAAGAAATACCAAGTATCATTCTTCTTTTGGCTCCAAAAAATGCCCAAAGATATAAACTCAATTTGAAAAATAAAATCATTATTCTGTTTTTCAATTAATGAATGTACAGGTAGACAGGTCTTAGTCTTTCAACTTATTCCTATAGTCCCACAAAATTTCAAGAATTCTAAGATAATTTAAACATCTCAGAAGTGTGATTTATACGTTGCATGAACTAAAAACTAGATTTTTAAAAATCTAGTAAAACTGAATTAAAATGGCTACCTTAACACTGACACCCACTACAAGCAGGCATTATTTTCCATCCTCAGTCTATAGATGGGAAAACAGGTAAAACTTAGCATTAATATGCTCAGCTAGAAAGTGAAAGAGATGGGATCTTAGTCTGGTTCTGGAACTCAGGCACCTGACATTAATACTATACCAAACATAAATTATCTATTATTCATGTTTTTAAAAACATTACCAACTTAAGGGACATTTATTATCTTTAAAAAGCATTTTAGAGCTATTAATAGAACTTACTACATGAACTTTTATGAGGATGTGTACTTTAGCCAACCAAAAAAGATCCTAAAAAAACAAATATTTTTATACCATAAATTCTTGGGCACTCTTTTTTATTGGTAGTGTCTGGGATAAAACTCAAGGCTTTGCATATCTTTTGTTCTCAGCCCACATCACATATTCTTTTTTTTTTTTTTTAAGAGACAGAAATGGTACCTTGATTTGATCATTACACAACATATACAGGTATTGAATTGTTATACTGTACCTCATAAACATGTACAAATGTGTGTCAATTAAAAACAAGTATTCGATTTAAAAAATTCTATCTGACAACATTTTTGGTCTCTGCCAGTAAAGTGGCAATAGTAAAAAATATCGAACATTCACAAACTTGTGTGTCATCCTTGCCCAGGGTCTGTGCTAATCTTCTCTGCATTGTTCCAGTTTTAGGTATGTGTGCTGCCGAAAGGAGCACTAAACCACATACTCTCAACCTGAACATCTTGTGGACTTTTTCAAGAACAAGATTTTATTCTATTTCCAGAAATTAAATGTTATATACATTGTGTATAAACTGACAGAAGCAATACTAAGATAGTACTAATAGAGTTTGTTAAAATTATGATGGTACTCATATAAGCAATAATACACAGATCACATTCTCATTTTATAAAGCCAAGCTTGTAAACTTTTCAAAATTTAAAAAAAGTATGAGCAGTTTCCACTGATTTCTTTCATCAAAAAGCAAATGTTTTTCACATTAATGTGATTGTTACGAAGGTACCCCCAAAATTTACAAAATCTAAATAAAAAATAGTTTATAAAATTTGGCCTATAAAACTAAGTCAAACAATAGTTTAAAATACACTAAAATTCAAGATTATTTAAAATCCTCATTTGGTCAAGAATAAGTTCATTTAACTTCAATCTGAATTATGACATCAGCTCTAAATACATAAAAATGAAGCAAATAAAGCTCACATTCATTGGGTTTAGCTAAGAAATGTCTAACTCCTCAAAATCTCTCTCTCTTTGGTACTGGGAATTGAACCCAGAGGTGCTTAATTACCGAGTTACATCTGCAGCCCCTTCTATTTTTTTTTTTTTTTATTCTGAGACAAGGGTCTCTCTAAATTGCTGAGGTTGGCATCAAACATATGATCTTCCTGCCTTAACCTCCTGTGCCACTGAGATTACAGGTGTGTGCCACAACACCCAGCCAAAAATCTGTTGGCTGAAAGACACTATGCAAAACACATTTGAAAATCGTGAAACCTAACTTCTTGTGCTAGGTTACCCCTACCCAGCTGGGTGAATTCAGACAACTCCTTTATGCTCTCTATGCTTTTCCTTATCAATAATCTCAAATATTCAGGTAATCTCTAATTGAATTATTATACTGTACCTCATAAACATGTACAAATGTGTCAATTAAAAACAAGTATTCAATTTAAAAAATTCTATCTGACAACGTTTTTGGTCTCTGCCAGTAAAGTGGCAATAATAAAAAACATCAAACATTCACAAACTTGAATGTTCTTCCCGCATTAAGATTTGGTACAATCTTATAACTTAATGTTCTATTGACCTACTTATTACTTAATGTTGTGATAAATGGAAATATTTTCACTCTTTTAGTTATTTCAGAAATTTCTCTTGCTCTGTCATCCCTAATTACAGAACAAAAAGTTGCTCTGAAGAAAAAAAAAAATCTGAAAAATTGGCTCAATTGCTTTTTGCAGACAGAAATAACGATCTACAAATCAGTACTGTATGGGGAAAAAAGGGCCTCAGTAGACATGTCAAGCAATTATTGAGAAAGCTGTACACACCTTGGCTTGTCCATTATAATCATCATCTAAAATGTTTAGAGAACTGGAAGCAGTAGTACCACGGAAAAAGCGTGAGGATCTGAGATACCGCTGGAAACTTAGTAACCGCCTAATATTCCTTGCAGAGACAGACACTTCAAATTCAGATTGAGCTGAAATAAAAGAAGTAAAAGGTAAGAAGAGCAACTCATATTTGTACATATGCTACATTTACAACACTCCTAGTTATACACAAGTATTTTTAAAAATTTATTAATCATTATGCCACATTTCTAGGAGAGAAGAGGTATTTTATTTCTATTTTCAATTGAAAAACTAAGAATGAAAAAGTAAATGGTCAATTCTGGCAGGATTTAGAAAAGAGGATGACAAATCAGTTTTTTTCTAATTCACTGGCTCCCCGTCATCTTATTATGAACTCCATCTCTTTACCCTAGAAAAGAAGGCTGCATGTTCCAGGTTTTGGCTCTCTCCTTTCTCAACCTGGGTGTCACCTTTTCTGGGAAGCACACCTGAATGCACTCTCCTCCATCTCAAAGAGGTAGGAGGCACCTCCTCTGGGTCCAAAAGCACCCCACGCATTCATGCATTACAGTACTTCTGACAATATATTATAATTGCTTATGTGTCTGTCTCATCAACAAATGATGAGTTTCAATACAGGCAAAACATATTTTTTTTCATCTCTGTTTTCCCAAGTCTAACAAGAATGTCACATATATAGTAGGTAGTTATAAAACACATTGTATAAAGGTATATTATTTTTGAAATATCTGAGAGGTTCTCACACACCCAAATAAACCAGAAGTAAAATAATGCACACTCTTATTTGATCTACTTCTCCCATTTTTCATTCTACTGAGTCTAAAATACAAAGTATGTGAAACAACTGTGGAGTTAACTTTCTGATCTTTATCAATATAATGTACATAAAACATAATAGACTCAAAATGGTAAAATATTAAATGATTATGTTTAAATTAAAATTAGTCTGAGGAAATGAGGGTAGATTAAATTCTATTAACACAATGTTCCAAGTGCTTTGTAAAAAGTATCTTACTCAAAAAAAAGGGGGGGAAGGTAAATATTATCCGTATCCCCCCTGTATACCTGAGAACACTTATTAAGTCTCTGCTAAAACACATTTATCTATCTTCTATATTTCAATTCTTTTTAACTATTACTAATTCCTTTTGCTTGCTCTTCTCATTTCTTTCTCCATACCCACTCTTTCTAGTGTAGACTATGTTGTTTTCCTTCCCCATGTCTTCATTTCTGTGATATATTTGAAATTTTGTCTTTACCATTTCCTGATTCTGAATGCATGTTTCAACTCCTTCCTTGAGTTCATGAATTAGTGCTCTATTGGTAAATTTTTTGTTTCATTTAGTTTTTTAAGTGAGTGGTAGAGAGTTTAGTCCCAATTTTCATCTGTTCTATAGCAATGTTTTCCTATCAAGTGCTCTACAACCACTGAGTTCTGCTGCTCTCTCCCACTGTTTTACTTCATTAAATTACCTGATATGCCAGTGTTTGTTTGTTTTTTTAAGAGTCATTACTGAAAGGGATGAGTTTTCCTGGACCTACTCTTTGCCCAAGTTCTCTGAGGGCATGAAGGGCAGGTGCTGGGAGAGGACAGAGGAGCCCTCTGAGCTTCACTACCAAATGGTGCTCTCCTTCTCTGCCAAAGAAACAGAATGCTTCTTGCAAGTATGCCAGTGCTGTTTCTCTAAACCAAATCTGGCCCAAGGGAACTACACTTACCCCTACTCATTCCACATTCTGGATTAGACTTAGCAAATAAAATATTTAGCTTTGTATTTCAGGGTGAGCTCTGTGCCCCACCCCACATATGCTTTATAAAAACATTATTCAGACTTCTTTGTAGTTTAACATATGGTCTAGACTTGAGAATGGCCCATGTGCACCTGAGAAGAATGTGTGCTCTGCTATAACTCCAAATGGATTATAGTGTTGCTAAAGTCTGCTATTTCTTTACTAATCTTTGGTCTAGTTCTAACTGTTCTAGAAAATGTGGCAGTAAAGTTTCCATTATTGTAGAATTGTCTCTTTCTTTAATTCTTGTATTTTGGAGATCTGTGGTTATACGTGTATATAACTGTCATATTTTCTTGTTGGATTGAAAATTTTACCAATATAAAATGTCCTTTGTCTCCCACAGCCTTTTTTCTTAAAGATCGTTTTGTCTGACAATAATAGAACCACTCCCAATCTCCTCATTATGATTTATATGGTATATCCTTTCACATTCTTATTATTTCAACCTCTTTGTGTCCTTTCTCTTAAAGTGAGTCTTTTCTACTCAACAGCTAGAATTTGTCTTATTCCTTTTGTATGTCAAATACCTGAGTCTGGATAATAAATAAATTAAAAAAAAAAAAAAAAAAAAAAAGAGATTCATCTCCTGTAGTTCTGTAGGCTGGGAAGTCCAAAACTGAGGGGCCGGATCTGTAAGAACCTCCCTGCTGCATCGTCCCACAGCAGAAGGAAGAGGGAAAAGAACATGTGCAAGCAAGAGAACAAGACAGACCTTGTCCTCTTACAGGACCTCACTCCCAGGATAACTAATCCAATCTCATGGTAACAACATTATCCAAAAAGGCAGAGCCCTCAGGGCCTAGTCACCTCTTAAAGGTCCTATCTCTCAACACTGTGGCACTGAAGATTAAGTTTCCAACTCAAGAACTTTGGGGGACATATTCAAATCGTATCAAGCTGTGTTTTTTAAAGCCAACCTGTTGATCTCTGCCTTTAAAGAGAAAAAAAAAATAGTTAATTAACATTTCAGTACTATTACTAAGAAAGAAGGATTTACTTTTGCCATTTGCCATGTTTTCTGTTTCTTCTATGTTTTTCGTTCCTTAATTTCTCCATTATCTACTGCCTTTAAAAAATTTTGTTGATGATTTTCCTAGTGTTCCAGTTTGATTCCTTCGTCTTTCCTCTTCTGTATAATTTTTAATCATTTTCCCAGTGATTACCTTGGGGATTACAATTAACCTTTGAACTTTACAATAAGCTAGTTTGCCTACCAACTTAGTTTCAATGGTAAAACACTCTGCTCCTTTATATCTCCATTTTCTCCCTTTATATTGTTATTGCCATAGATTACATATTTAAACATTGTATGCCTATTAAGATAGACAAAATAACTGTTATATGTATTTGCCTTTTAAATCACATAGGGAAAAAAGGAGTTACAAATCCAAAGTACAGTAATACTGGCTTTTGTATTTACCTACGTACTTGCCTTTACCAATGCTCTTTATTTGTTCTTATGGCTTTGGGTAACTGCTAGCATTCTTTCATTTCCGCCTAAAGGACTCCCCGCTTTAGCATTGTCAGTAGGATAAGTCTATTGGTAACGAAATCCCTTGTCTTCTATCTTTCTGACTTCGTGTTAATCGGAGTCTCCTTTATTCTTGAAAGATAGTTTTTACTAGATATAGAATTATTGGTTAATAGTTTTTTTTTAAATTCCCTATCATCCCACTGCCTTTGGGCCTCTAAGTTTTTGAATGAGAAATTAGCTGTTAATTTTATTCAAGGTTCCTTTAGTGAGGCAAGTTGCTTCTCTCTTGCTGCTTTCAGAATTCTCTTACAATGACAATGTGTCTCAGTTGGATCTCTTTGAGTTTATCCTCATTGGAGTTCTTCGAGCCTCTTAAATGTATATATTCATGTCTTAACCAGAATTAGGAAGTTTTTGTTTTCAAATATTTTTTCAGCCCCTCTCCTCCTGGGATTGCTTATCATTGAATTCCTGATAAGAAGATGAGTTCTGCCCCTTTCCCTTGCTTGTGCTTGTTCCTCTTACTTCTGCTGTATTAAATGTAGCAAGAAGGTCCTCACTATATATAGCTCCTTGATCTTGAATTTCCCAGCCTCAAAAAAAAAAAAAAAAAAAAAAGGACTAACACACAGTCCATCTACTCTGTAGAAAAGATGTACTTTAGATATAAGACTCACTTTGATGGTGCCTCTCAAAATGAATAATTTCAATTGTCTCATTTAAATTCATTCTTTCTTCTCTCTTCTCAAATTTGCTGTTGAACCCCTCCTCTAGTGAATTATTTTTTTAATTTATTTTTTTTGGTTGTTCAAAACAATATAAAGCTCTTGACGTATAATATTTCATACATTAGATTCAAGTTGGTTATGAACTCCCAATTTTACCCCAAATACAGATTGCAGAATCACATCGGTTACACATCCACATTTTTACATAATGCCCTATTAGTAACTGTTGTATTCTGCTACCTTTCCTATCCTCTACTATCCCCCCTCCCCTCCCCTCCCATCTTCTCTCTCTACCCCATCCACTGTAATTCATTTCTCTCCTTGTTTATTATTCATTTTCAGTTATTGTACTTTTCAGCTCCAGAATTTGTTTGGTTCCTTATTTTATCTATATATCTATTTATTTATTTATTTTTGCTTGACACTTACCAAAGACCAGTATTTATTCAGATTGTCTTTTACTGTCAAATTTTAATGCTTATAATCTTTTCTTGTTTTGTACCAGAGATTGAACTCCAGGCACTCAACCACTGAGCCACATCCCCAGCCCTATTTTGTATTTAATTTAGAGACAGGATTTCACTCAGTTGCTTAGTGCCTCACTTTTACTGAGGCTGGCCTCAACCTCCTGAGCAGCCACTGGATTACAGATGTATGCTACTGCACCCGGCTCAATTCCTTTTTATAATTATTGAGATGCTCATTTTGTTTGCACCTTGTTTTCCTAATTTTAGTTCTTTGTCCATGATTTCATTTAGCTTCATTAAAGATAAATTTAAATATTTAACTAATAATTCTAATGCATAAGCTTTCTCTGGGATGGTTTCTATCAAGTTCTTTTTTATTTTGTTTTTCCTGTTTGTATGTTTTGTAGTTTCATTGACGGTGCCTTACTGACACCTAGTCATTCTAAGTCTTTATACTGAGGCAGATCCGAAATCAGTTCTTTCACTTCTCTAAGATTGTTTATTTTTTGCTTCTTGCAAACTAAAGTCATACATTTTATGACTTCAAATTGCTTTTGCCTTTGCTTTTCCATTTGCTTTTGTCTACTGCTTATGCCTGGCAACTAAAGTTTCCATTCAATTATTTCTACACAAATTTTCTTAAA